TTGTTGTCACAATACAGAGCAATGGGACTATCAGATATATATATATATATATATATATAAAGGTTAACCAAAAAAAAAGTATGACTCTCTAGCTTAAATACAAATAAATGTGACATAATTTTCCAATTTTAGAGAGGAAGAATTTGGAGATGTGATAGTGCAAATCTAGGTGTATAAATAAGCTCAAGTAATAAAAAACTAGATATAGCGAATATCGTAAAGATACGGATCAACTGTAGTATCAGGGTCGAACACAGGGAATAGTTAACTCCAAGAATAAGACTCAACCAAGAATCAGATCAGAAAATAGCAGATGAAGTATATGAATACCGAAAATAAAAGCAATAAACAAACTAAGTAAAATCAGATAACTAAACCACCATACATTCGGGATAACCTTAACGCACAGAGATTTTTTCTAAGGATGGAGAATCTACGAATATCGAACTCTAATCGGGGATTTCAAGTTCTAATATCATATTTGACTTTTTCAAGTCCTAAATCCACTATCCAATAAGTTAACCTATCGATCTTTCAACCTAATAGATTAAAATATCAAATGCATTAACGAACACTATCACGGTTCCTAAACCGATTAACCTATCTTTCAATAGTCTTAATCAATTCATTCAATGAATTCTTTCCGAATCTAATCTCAACTTTCGTTGCAAATCAGAATCTAAGATCAATCAATCAACAAGCCAAGAAGATCAAAAGCAATAAACTCAATTCAATTAAACCGACGAGTATCGATAACGTAGTCTCGAAAAATAAAAATCAAACAAATCTCTACAAGGTTAAATAACTAGTTACAGTGAAACGAGTAGTCGCAACCCATAACAACAAACTAGTTCAAATCAATAAAGAGAAACATGGAAAACAGATAGAGAAAAAACTCGCAGCGATCTCTCGACGACGATTCTTCAATCTCTGCTTCCGGAAACTCCGTCTTGATTCTCTCTCGAGTTCTCTGGCTTCTTCTGTGATCTTTCCATGATTTCTAAAGCCGAAGACGTCCTCTCTTTATTGGCTTGGCGGCTCGGTTTCTTCCTTTGCTGAAAACGGAAGTCCGGATGCAAAATAGAAAGTTTTCCCGTAATGCAACATGGTCGTGTCGAATGCAATACGATCCGTGTCAATTCTCTGAGCAAAACTTCACTTTTTCAGCAATTCAACACGGGTCGTGTCAAATGCAACACGGTCCATTCCAATTCTCTGAGCAAAACTTCACTTTCAACACGGACACGGCACGACATGTCGAATGCAACACGGTCCATGTCGATTCTTCGACTCGAACACACTTGACAGATTTGCTCATAACTTTCTGATCCAATGTCGAATTTACGTCTTGGTGTCTATGCGTAGATATTGAAGAGAGCTTTCCAATGATGTAGAGAACGCACAATTTGGACTTGTAGAATGAACGTTATTAAACTTGCAAGATTTGACATTTTTAGACTTCACGTTTTACCCCGGAATAACTCCAGATGTTTCTGTTTCGTCAGTGATGTTCCGCAATCCATATTTTCCACTCCTTTTGCTCTCTTTTATGCATGAATACCTGTTTTAACACCAAAGAAAGCAACCAGGCAATATTGAGACCAAATGTGCTCTAGAGTATCTATAAATGTGCAAAACCGAGTAAAATGCACTAGATATCTTATATCAAAATATCACCAAAATACATGTTATCAAACTCCCCCAAGCTTAAGCTTTTGCTCATTGGTCATGCCAATCCAGGCGAATGGTTGATCAAGTAATAAATACCTAGACTAAGCTGATTCCGCAAGGGTACGGATTCGATGTAGTACCAAGGTCGAACTCAGGGACCGAGAGGTGATGGTGTCGATGATGATTCTAGCAAGAGTAAAGTGCAAGATTGTTGGTTGGTTGGGAAAAACTATAACTAAAAGTACTGTAGGTTCGGGGGTTCACCGATGCTATGGATTGTCTCTAAGATATAAAGATTGATTTGCAGTTTTGATAGGTTCGGGAAACTCTAGCTTCTAATTTAGAATTCGTCGGGGTCAGGGATCGTAATTCTCTAACTAACGCTTTCCTATCAGCTTCCGCATCTTTAGGTTTACGTAAGAAGCATTAACGTTCGCTATCATAGTTCCTAGATCGAATTAAGAATTCCTTATCAAATCCAACCTATGCGTTCAGAATTAATAATTGAATCTATCCTATGAACGAATTCCGGTATTAACTAATCCAAATTTTTTTGCAATTAATTAACCCACATCAATTCATATAGATGATCAATCTGATGAAAGCATTAAGTTCAATTCATAGAACCAGATCTAAGCAAACCATGCAATAATCTTATTAAGAACATGAACGAATCCATAACATGGCTAGAATCTCTAGCCTACAGTAAGTGAACTACTCACGATCCATGGGAGAAAACGAAACTGCAACAGATTCATACAACATCTCAAAAGATAAAGAGAAAAGAAACTTATAGGATGAAGAATCAATCTTTAAACTCCAAAATGTAGCATTCTCCGCTCCAATTCATCCCCCAAAGCGTCAAAAACCGAAAAATCTCGATTGGTCTCGAAAACTGTGTCCAAAGTCGAACCCTCTCTCGGTTTCCGTACGGTCTTTTTATAGACATTTCGAAATATCGACGTTAAAACCTCGATATCGATGTTTTCTAACGTCGATATTTCTCCAAGGTGCCCAGATCTCGAGGTTTTGGAAGGTCGATACCTGGACTGCTCAGATCTCGAGGTATGGAAGGTCGATATCGACGTTGTGAAAGGTGGACATCTAGACTACTCAGATCTCGAGGCATGGAACATCGATATCGATGTTCGAAAACGTCTAGATCTGGAAATCTGAAAGTCTGATCTCGAGGTGGCTGAAAACTTCGATATCGAGGTTGAAGAACGTCGATATCGACGTTATGAAATGTCGATATCGATGTTCTAAACCTCAATATTCTCCCTTTTTCGCTCCGAAGTCCGTTTCTCGCTCGCGAGAAGTCCGAGACCTTCCTTAGCTCATACGTGACTGTCCACCTAGTCCAAATAAGCTCCAAAAACATCGTTTTAGCTCTGGTTTCGTCCGATTACGCGAATATTCCTGAAATTACATTAAAGAGCAAAGAAAATGGTATTTGTGCACAAAATGTGGCCTAAATGCTAGATTTGTACAGAAAAGATGGGTGAAATGCAACTAAAACCATAGGAAAATAACGTCAAAAACCGTGTCATCACTCATCCTCGAGCAAATAGGCAATGGAAAACACCTGAGAAGAGGGCGAGACCATGATACAGATCAAAATGATAATCGAGAGCGAAACTTCTATCCGATCTAGATCCCCGTGAACCATGACCAAGTCTGTCTAGTATGATCTCCCTCTCTAAAGGAAAGTCTTTCCTAGTTATGAGATCTATACCACTACCTAGAACTAATCAAAAGACTTCAATCATCTATCAAACATGTTTCTCGAACCTATCACACCATTCTACTTAATCGTATCTAGTCTACATTTTTTACATTCATTCTTTTTCCTCTTCTTTTTTTTCATCTAGCTGGATTTTTTTATCTTTTGTTGTCATCTCGGATTCCTAGGACGTTGAAGTTAAATGATTCATAATTGTTCTTTTTGTCGATTTTGTTCATTGGATGACCCGACCCACAACTTAGACCCGAACCATCTAATCGATGCACTCATGTTCTCGAACGATTTTCGTTGACGAGATCATGACAGCGGAGTGTCGAGATGCTTATTATCTTTTTCTGCATGCGAAGAAATAAGGATGCATTTGATAATAGACTTTACCGATTTTAGCAAACCTGGGGATGGTTCCTATAGAAACTTTTCTACTCGGCTAGACAACATCGGTCATATGGGTTCTAACCAACAATTTCTATCCCACGAACCATTTTAGACAATCCTAAAGATCAAGTAATCAATTCAACAAAACTTAACCATATTTAACGGATCGTCATGTTTTCAAGACGTTTCTACTTTCTCATACCATAAAGCATCACATCAATGCTCAAAACGGTTTTATACACATACTTTTATGTCCTAAACATTATATGTACATGCACAATCCTAACAACAAACTATAACAATAAACTATATGATCCTAAAACATCTTATATGCACATGCAATTAAAAAGTGAAAAAAATCAAAAAATTATCCTAAAAATAGAAAAATGCATGCAACACTACTCTAAATAGATATGGTTTGGCGTTAGACGAATCTTCCCCCACACTTGAATTTGACACTGTCCTCGGTGTCAAATCTCGTCTAGTAGAACCAACCAATAAGATGAGTCAAAAGAGAAGCAAATCAAAAAGAGAAAAGAATACTTACCTCGCGATGTTCATTCACTCGCGCCGAAGTCTGCCTACGTCAATCATATAGCTAGCTTCCTTGCCCCCTCAAACCTCCTCGTTAGAACTCAACCTGGTGACAAGAGACAAACCAATGTCCGATGCAAAAAAGAAAAGAAAAAGAAGGGAAAGAAAAACTAACCTAAAAAAAAACTCGGGTTGCCTCCCGGGAGCGCTTGTTTAAGGTCGTTAGCTTGACGATACTCTCTCAACTCTTGGATGGGTCTAACAACCAAAGATTATCGATCTTCTACCAACCTGGATCATGAAGTTTAAGAGCATCTCTATGACAAAAGGAGTTTGAGAAACGAGGCGTACCTAGTAGAGAAAAGTCTGGTGGTGATGCATGAGATTCGAGCCAGTTCTCACGAAGGTCTGATGAGTTAGTGACATGTTCAACCATGTTAGTTTTTTTCTTACCTTTGGTCCTTTTTGGATCTAGTCCTCTCTTAATCTTGTGTCTGTGGTCCTAATTCTTGGACGTTTTGAGCTTGTAAATTGAACAAATAGATTTCACACTTTCGTTTGGATTGTCATTTTGATTGAGCATGAATTCTATTATCTCGTCTCCAATGGACATAGTAAGACGGCCAGCTCTGACGTGGATGACGATATCTGTTGTGTTGAGGAAGGGACGCCCCAAAATGATAGGCATACTTGAATCTACATCCATATCAAGAACCACAAAATCGACAGGTATGTAATAGTCACCCACCTTAAGTGGCATATCCTCTAGTATACCTGCAGGCCGTTTGGTCGATTATCTGCCAACTGTAATACCATTTGTGTGGGTTTTTGATGCGGACATGACATTGCTTGAAGAAGAAGAAACGAAGAAATCTCAAAGCTTCCTTATTTGGATTCAACTCAAGATCACGAAGGATTTAAATCTGATTTAATTAGATTTAATTTAGATATAATCAAATTTAGATATGATCTGATTTGATTTTATTTAGATATGATCTGATTTGATTTTATTTAGATATGATCCGACTTGATTTAGATTTGATCTTTTTACCTTATCTTGTTGACATTTGTAATACTATATAAGGAGATCTTTGTAGACTTGTTTAAGCAGACTTTGGAAAATAAAATAAAAAAATTTGAGTTTCTTTAGAATTCGGTATGTCCGATTCTTTATCTTCTCGGTGTGTCCGAGTCTCAGTCCTCCTAAGTTGTGCGTGTGTCGCCTTCTTATGAGGATCTATTGTGACGATATCAGGAGGACTCTCCATCCCCTCTTGTGGTGTCACCGATCCACCCATCCTTTTCACCCGTAAGCTGAGTTCGAGCGCCTTCAAGGCCGGTGATTGGCTTCGGATCAACCTTCCATCCCGAGTGTATCAACCCTTGGATCGAAGCGTGCATCATTTGGTATCAGAGCCCGGTTCAAGGACCACTACACGCGGTTTATCCTATCTAAATTGTTTTTTGCTACCTATTGTTTCTTGTTGTTGTTTTTGTTTTTGAAAAAAAAAACAAACAAAGTCTACAGTGATATTTGGTTTTGAGGACAAAACCTTTTTCAAGAGAGAGAGAATGATGCGGACATGACATTGCTTGAAGAAGAAGAAACGAAGAAATCTCAAAGCTTCCTTATTTGGATTCAACTCAAGATCACGAAGGATTTAAATCTGATTTCAATTAGATTTAATATAGATATAATCAAATTTAGATTTGATCTGATTTGATTTTATTTAGATATGATCCGATTTGATTTAGATTTGATCTTTTTACCTTATCTTGTTGACATTTGTAATCCTATATAAGGAGATCTTTGTAGACTTGTTTAAGCAGACTTTGGAAATGAAATAAAAAAATTTTGAGTTTCTTTAGAATTCGGTATGTCCGATTCTTTAGAATTCGGTATGCACTCTAAACATGTTTGGATGCACTCTTAGAATTCGGTATGTCCGATTCTTTATCTTCTCGGTGTGTCCGAGTCCCAGTCTTCCTAAGTTGTGCGTGTGTCGCCTTCTTATGAGGATCTATTGTGACGATATCAAGAGGACTCTCCATCCCCTCTTGTGGTGTCACCGATCCACCCATCCTTTTCAACCGTAAGCTGAGTTCGAGCGCCTTTAAGGCCGGTGATTGGCTTCAGATCAACCTTCCATCCCGAGTGTATACACCCTTGGATCGAAGCGTGCATCAGTTTTAGTTCACCTACATCTAGTTGCATGAAGATCGACAATGGCATTAGACTTACGCTTGCTCCTAGATCACATAGCGCTTGTTCAATAAAAAGATTACCCAGCTTGCAAAGAATGGAGAAACTACCTGGGTCTGCCATCTTACGTGGCAGATCGTGCTGAAAAACGGTACTGCACTCTTTGGTTAATGCTATTGTCTTCCTCTCCATTGTCTTCTTCCTAGACAGAATATCCTTGAGAAATTTGGCATAAGAGGGCACTTGAGTGATTACCTCATGAAAAGGCATTGTGAACTCCAGTTTTTTTATCATGTCCGTGAAGTGCTTAAATTGGTTGACCTCTTTGTGTTGCACAAGTCGTGAAAGGAATGGAACCGGAGGAGGTCTGGGAGGTGGGGTACATACTTTGGTTCTTCCTCACATGTCATCTTAATTGGAGTATCTGCAGACTGAATGTTAGAGGTAGGGGTGGGCACGGATCGGATATCCGAAGTTTTTCAGATATTTGTATCCGTATCCGATCCGTACAAATATCGTATTTTGTTATCCGTATCCGATCCGTAGTTTTCGGATATCCGCAATTTCGGATATCCGTAAAAACTACGGATATTTGCAAATATCCGTATCCGACACAAAAATAATAAAAATAAAAAATTAAATTAAAAAACTAAAACAAAAATAAAATATATAATCTATCAAATACAAAACGATATTCAAATTCAAAATACATAACATAAACATTCTAAATCAAACCAACAACGAACATAATCATAATTCATCGGATACAAATATATTTAATGTTTAAATTAAAAAGATTAAGAATCATAAACCTCCATACGTAAAACAACATTTGTTGAATCTTCATGAAAAACCTGTAAAAAAACATTCCAACATATAATATAAACCAATTGATTAATAAAAACTTAGATATATATGATATCTTATTATACCTTACATACTCTAGTTCTCCAAAATTCGTTGATCGCCACATCAATCATCCAAATTTAGCATTGGTGATTCGAGCAATTCGGTTATTTCATCTAAACAAAAAAAAGTATATTAGAATCATCAATAAGCCAATAAATAAACATAAAAATATTCAAAATATTACATACCGATCTCAGTGTTTGCATCTCTTCTAACGTTTCTTCAATATTATTCAATCCTTCGGGACTACGAATCCAATCTTGAGTGCAAATAAGAGCTTCAACCATCTTCGGAGTGAGACAACTACGACACGGACTAATCACACGACCGCCGATACTAAAAGCAGACTCTGAAGCAACTGTCGATACCGGAATAACCAAAAGATCTCTTGCCATCAAAGAAAGAATCTTATACTATGAACTCGTCGTCTTCCACCAATACAAAATATCAAAGTTTTGAACATTCTCTTCACATTCTTCGGACAAATACTTCTCTAATTCTGATTTTACTACACTCCCATGACTTTTACGTTTCAGATAATCTTGAAACAACCAATCATCAATACCATCCACACTATTAGCACTCAAAACTTCACTTCCACTTGATTGATCCGTTTCAATAGAATTGGTAGGCTCAAAAGTAGTCTCATAACTTTTAAACATCTTTTGCAGTGTTTGTTCGATGATATCCATCACATCTTTAGCTTCATGCTCCATATAAACTTTCTCAACTACCCAACTTATCCATTCCATCTTGAGACACGGATCAATAATAGTTGCAAGATAAATCAAAGGATTCATTATTTTGTAATCCCCCCAATACTTGCGAAACTTGTCTATCATCTTCAATGCAATTGAGCGAATCATCTCATTTTCGCTCATACTCATCATCTTAATACGTACTCCCACTGTAAATCTCTTTCATGTATAAGTTTCTGGTCACATACTGAGAACCAGAAATCTTCACAGTGGTATCATAAAAGACTTTTAAAAAAGGCAACAAAGCACTTACTCGTGACCAATCTTCTTCTGAAGGCACCACTTTTCCATTCTTTTTTAGTTCATCCACATACTTCTCATCCTGCAACTCAAGCAAATCAAAAGCTTTCTTGACTTTTAAAGCAGACTCCAACATAGTATAAGTGGAATTCCATCTTGTTTCTGTTGGGTTTCCTGGGATCTCATGAGCGAATCTAATTCCTAAGAGATCGATTCTAGGGTTTGCGCAGCGGATATAAAACAAAAATTTTAATGAAACCCTAGAACCATGCTACTATTGAATCATAGAAACGTTAGAACGCTTACCTCAATCGATCCGGGGCCTGTATCAATTGATCTGTTCGTCCGATCACTCTAGGCAGGAAGAATACCTCGCCCTCTACACGTATCCACACGTCGGGATGGATTCCAACACCTTGGAACTTGTCTGCTAGGACTAGAGATCTCGATCTCTCTTGTGTGCAAGGTTTTTGGAGGCTTAGAGTTTTATTTTTCTTCTTTTTTTTCTTTTCTTCTTTTTTTTTCTTCTTTTTTTCTTCTTTTTTTTCTTCTTTTTTTTTCTTCACTTAAAACCCTAGAAGACATTCTCCTTATATAGACTTTCCAAAAATCTAATTTGACAAGGAATAGATTACTAGGAATCCTAATCTAATTAGGTTTCCTAAACCTATTAGAATTCTAATCTCATTAGGTTTCCTAGATGTAATAGAATTCTAATCTCATTAGGATTCCTATACATAACAGGACTCCTAATCCCATTAGGATTCCTATTCCAATTAGGAATCTCAATCCAATTAGGATTCCTAATCGGGATAATTTAGCACACGTACTTGTCCATCCCTATTGTATGTGACCCTGTAGGCTCATCCGGAATAGCAGTAAAACACAGAATCTCCATTCCGGGAATACAAGTCATAGGCGGTCTCTAGCAAGACACTATGACTACCTATCTCGAACAGAGTTTGTTTGTGATCATACGAAAGCCAGTGATGATTCCGACTGATGATCCTTTTGTATCGCGATATCATATGTCGAACATAAGGCATGGACAAGCCACCTTATCTGATTCGACTGCTTTCTCGTTCACTGAGTTCGACTGTCTGAAATAGACGACGTTCGTCTATAGTGCGGCCACACATTTCTACAGTCTTGCTCACACGAGGGGCCCAGCGATATCTCTCTCTTTTACGAGAGGTACAAATCCCGTATTGACTATCTACAATCCAGTACATGATTCGTTTCGTACCTGATACACGCCTTTATAGTCCTCCTGTTACGCAGGACGTTTGACGTAATCAAAGCACGCAACTCCTCATGTTGGATTCTGTAGATATCTCAGGTCTTAGGATCCAATCATGGAATCGTCGTATGAGATTCAAGTCATGACGCTAGTCCATGTGACAATCTCATGCGGGTCAGTCCAGTATTCCGTTCTGCAACGAATACCTATGATTGTGATCGTATCCAATACCTATGATCATCTATGAATGATACTAAACTCCCTAGTCTTATGTCATTATGGGAATAACGACATAATAAGACTAGTATGATGTGTGATTGATGATCACATAGATGATCATAGGTATTGGATACGATCACAATCATAGGTATTCGTTGCAGAACGGAATACTGGACTGACCCGCATGAGATTGTCACATGGACTAG